TCACTGGAGGCTGTCACAAGTGACCTCCGGCCCTGCGAATCTGGCCTCGTGTCTCGGGGCTCGGTCGAGGGGCCTGATCAAGCCTTGAGATTCTTGTCGCCGGGTCTGGCTCATTCCGGCGCCTGCTACCCCTCGAACCTTCGCGGGGCTGCCATGGCAACTAGTGGTGACAACGTGACGGGTCAGAGATGTTGCCATATTAGCACAGCAACTCGTCACTCTCTGCCACAGGCCATTGGCGTGACGACCGTCAAGCCGACAAGCCCTAGAGCCCGGCTGTCCACGCCGGGTGCGATTGATACCAGAAAAGCAGGCAAACTGCCTTCGAAGGCGAGAGAGCCGACAAACCAGGTGACTTGATCCTCTTATAGGCCTAGGCCCCGAGACACCCAAGCGCTCACTTTGAAACAACCTTTAATATGCCTAAAAATAATGGCAGTCAGGGTAATGTAAGAATCATAATAAGGCTAGTATTTCATGTGGTTTTTGCAGCAAAGTTTGAGTAAAATCTCTATTTACATCATAGCATTATGAATGTAAATGCATAATTCCGATCTCTCTGAGGGTCACTATGATCGTGTTAAGTTCTTTGGAGAAGCATATGTCTACCATATATTAAAGATTTAAGCAAAATTTTAGTTGATCAGTAGAAATGACGATCGAGATGTTGTGGCCTCTGTTTTGGTCTCAACCTCTTTTCGCTGTATGGAAGTGGTTTAGCCTCGTTTCCGCAACTTGGTCGTGTGGAATTAGTACATTCCAAAGCCCACTGTCTGAAGCTATGAATTAGCATAACTTCTATATTGAAGGACTTCATACAAGGTAAGTCCAACTGGATCCTCGCGAAAACACAAACAAGTAGCGAAAACAAAGTCAAAACACTTCCAGAAGTTTAGTTGGCCTTAAATTATTTTTCCACCCATCCAGCCTCTGTATGCTTTAATAACAGGTCGTACAAGCTAATTTTCTATGCGAACATGTATTATCGCCAACAGCCAACGTAAATTCACAAGAGATAATTTGTATCTCTTTCGAGAAGGTCAAGGCCAGCCAAGCACTTACAAAACCTCAAGAGTATACTCCACGCCTCTTGAACCTGATCATAAAGACTGGCGTAAGTTTTTTTTGAACCTCATGTGAGACAAAGCTGCGATCAGATCCGCTTTCTTGTAAGACATCAACTTCGCTCATCAGCAAGGCATGAACCGACGAGTCAAAGTATAGAAAGCCTCAGTGAGACCGCAAAATGGGATAAGTTAAGTGAATCAATTTGCAACTGACCATATTTTACCTTAGTATAATATATTGGCACGGTTTTCCATAAAGGTTGATTTCTCCACTTAACGATGTCTCCCACATGATAGTCGAAAGCTCAGTGCATATTCACTGGAACCACAGAACGCTGGGCCAAGGACTGCTTTTTAGAATCCAACCGTTTTCACTCTTTTGATTTCCTGTCAGGCCAATTTTTCCTTCAAAATAAAAATGTGAGTCTCGCGTCTTTGAATCTCTCAGGTAACCTTTTTTGGAGTGAAGATTAAATTCAAGTGATTCACTCTAACTTCACTGTCATGGATGGTGAGAAAGTTGACTCTTTCGCCTTAACGCACACCGAACTCCTTCTGCAGCCCATCTTGACGTTCGTGGCACTGGGATAACGACTTAGAGGGCCAGGTTAAGATGGAGACCAGGCGAGTACCATTGAAGACATGCTGCGACCTACACTCACATCAACGTTATGGGATAAGTAGACAAACTGTATGAAAACACAGCGCTGAGTCAATTGTTCTCTTTGCACTAGGCCAAAGAGACATTAGAAACGTCCTGTAGTAAATGATAGGAAAAGTGAAGAAAGATAAACTGTGTCTCACTGCATCAGCACACCCTAAAAATACCAAAATTATGCATCCAAGCAGCCCATGGCCGTCCCTTGAGAGTGCTTGGTGGGTACTTTCAAAGTCTTAAGAAACAAGCACAGCAAAAATGCAGGAAGTAATGCTCCGGTTGCTGAGGCAATATGGGACGACAGCATCCAGCCGTGGTCAGAATTAGGCAAGGGATTTACCGAAGGTAAGGATGGTGAAACGAAATGGACCTGCGAAGAGACCCAAATAAAATGGCAGGTCAGTTATACTCGTGGTTTTCGGGACTCTGTTCACACATTAAGCCATTCGTCGCCCTGGCACAGAGATCTGTAGATATGCCTAAATTGACCTGCGAAAAACTAGCTCTTAAAGAGTCTCCTTACACTTTCGTGTAATTGATCCTTTACTTCATTCTAAAGTTGCATAAAAGGTTCAAGCCAATTCGTCTCACTGGAAATTGATGGAAGATTCCCCTGGAGGTGTGAATGCCATTTGGAGCGTAGAAGCCTTAGGCGCGAGAGATATCGTTGGGGCGCGAGAAAGTGAGAAAATAACTTTTCGAAAATTCACATGAATGCCAAATCGGAGGATGACAAAGAGCTTCTTATAGTGTAACTTTGATATCGTAATAAATTCCAGAGATTACTTAGCTACTTCTTGGTTCACCTTACGCGCTTTCAGATGAATGATGCAAGTGTCTTGCTCTGCAAAATTAATAGCTTTATTTTGATTAGACACGTCTGTTGCAAGGGTGCCATTTTCATGAGTTTTTTTTGAGAAAGCTGGGCGAATGTAGAGAAAATGAAGAATCAAAACGCTGTGTAAAGAGAGATGTATACTTTTCTAACTTGTGCCTTCTTTTCTAGAAGTTTCTCTAAATCATGTTATCCAGAATATTTTGCATTCATGTTGTAGTGTCTTTAGTAACTAGACACACCGAGCCATGCTACTAACCGACAGTAAAGATGAAAAGGTACAGACATCTGGACTGGCTTATCAAATAGCGAATTCAATGCACCAGATAGAATGGTATAGAATCCAAATTTTTGCCAGTGGAATCATTCCGCCGAAGGGCAGGATAGAGTTCCAGTATGTGCCTAGACTACTCATTTAATTTGAAAAATATAGATGGT